GGGGGGGGAAAGAGGGATCGAGAAAAACGCTGGCCGAATCTATCGACCACACCCATCGTCGTGTTCACGACGCGTGTATCGTTGCCCCTTTTTACTCGCAGCCACCGCCTTCCATCATTGATTTCGGCACCTCCTCCACCGATAACCGAGCAGGAAAAGAAAGAAAACCTCTGTCGACCGAAGAAACATTATTTTTTTTTTTTTTTTTTTTCACTTCATACGCGAACTACCCCTTATGAATATGTGTATGAAACTGTCTCGTGCAGCAGCAGCAGCTATATAAACGAATCTGTATGATTAAAAAATAGCTTCAGCGTTGAACAAATATTTTACTTTATGCTATTTTCTATAATGACTTGCGATAAAGTTTTGTCACAACGACTTGTAAAAAAGGTAATCTCCGAAGAAAAAAAGACCAAAGGGACATTGTTCTTCCATATCGCATTAATTCCGTGAAAATCTATTTACATTTCGGCCTCGTAGTGTTTGGCCGATTGCTGCAGTAATTATCGATAATTCATGGAAATTAATTGGATTAATTGTTCGCGAATTAATGTCCCATCAAACGTGTCGTCTACCGCGATATCCGTCGTTCGATACCATGTTTTCCATTTGAGAAAGAAATCGATTTGAAGCGGCAACTGCGCTCGGTCGGAGTCAAGAAAAAGTACTTTAGTTACGGGAATATGTCTGGATTATCAATTTACTTCACCCTGCACGCTCGGTGCCGCTGTGTCTTTAAATACTTGCTAGGCGATCGAGTCTGCAGTTCTGCGAGGGAACACGCAATCGTTCGTCGTGTCTGGCTGGAACATCGGTATGCAAAGTTGACGGGTCACGACAGCGTTCCTCTCGCGAGTCGAACGAGCGTCCCCTTGTCATGGTCCTTCGCCCTTTTTAAACCTCTCTCTCTCTCTCTCTTGATGGCGTGCCTTCGCCATTCAATCGGTAATTGTAACCTCCTACCATCGTCGAAAGATCTTCTGTCTTCTATCGAGTTCGTCGAGTGAGAAAAATCGACACGACCGAGCCACAAAGATGGCCGGTGGTTTTCCATGGCAGCGTCAGGCTCGAATCGATCAAACTGCCTGCTCTTTTACAACGAGTATATAGTTACGGGACAGATACGAGACATTTGCTAGATGTTTGAAAGATACGGAGGGCTCTGCGCTCGAGATATCCCATTTGCAGATTATATTCACCCTTTCACGTATCAAATTTTCCTCTCTTGCAAGTTCGAGAACATTCATTGGCTTTCTCGGGGGGGGCACAAAAGTGTATCGACACACCTTTGATTATGTTGTAAGAGGTTTGCTTCGAAAGTTAAAAACTCTGAGCGAGAAATAAATATGTTTTTTAAACGCTTGCAATAAAATTTTTATTTCATTTCAATTATTGTATGGCTCAAGGAAACAAATTCGTGGAGAGACTTGATTTGAACAAGAGAATGAACACGATCACCAAAAGGGTTAATTTGCAGTGCAAACCTGCATCACAGTCTAAAATATAATCGATCAACCTGTTGACCCTGATCTTACGAGCAGAACTGTGTCTAAATTTGCTTCTTAAAATCTATCAAAGCATGAAATTTCCGTCAGAGATATTGAACTAAAAAGAATAGAAAAATTTTACAATACACATTGCGAAATCTTTTATTTGCACACTCTACGAAAAATCGTTCAAATCTCTAAAGGTACATTGTTTTACATCTACGCATGTTGAATGAAAATATACCAAGTTGAAATACATGTTTTACATCTGTAAAATTTCGAAGAGAAGTTATAAATTGGCCGTTTCGACCATTCTGGTAGTTGCGGTGTTGAAAATCGTTTGAATCTCTGAAAATTGTTTTACACCTGCGTACGTTCAATAAAAATACATGATGTTTTACATCTATAGAATTATAAATTGGTCGTTTTCTGGTTGTTAAGTAAAATGAAAATTTGCTCGCCATCAGATCACGTCTACGAAATTCGGAAATCATCGGGGCGCAACACGCGATCACACGAGCCCGAACTATTAGAGACCGCTCGTGAGAAGAAAAGGCCGAAATCACAACGGCGCGCAGCGTTTATTCAGGGTGCGTACCCTTGTATATCGGTGGACGGTGGAACCCTGTAATTATAAAGGACCGGTTTCCTCTGGCGTGGTACAGCTACGCCATAGTACACACGCCGTTCTCCCGTTTGCACGTAATCGTCGAGCTTCAATTTTCCCGCGCTCTCGTCTCGGCGTGCGAGGCTCCGAAACTTCGTCGAGATCGAGCAAACCC